AATTCACTCCTGTATCTGTCACTGTCTTGTCTAGGCCGTGCTTGGTTGGGATAGCTCAACTTTTTTTTTTTTTTGAGATCAGCGGGATAACTTTTGCTTAAAGTGTCAGAGTACAACCCCGAATGAGCAACTCGATTTCATGTCTTTGCTTGGGTTATATCTACATCCATTCTGTTGACCAAAGCAAGTCAGATGGTCAAGCCCAGAATCTAAAGGTGAGGAGGTACATCCCACTCAAAACATGAGTACTCTGCAAATAGTGTTAATTTATAATCCTATTACTAGGGTGAGAATGGAAAGTTGGAATAATAACCTAGTATTCTGAAGTCTCTTCTTAATGTGCATGACATCTCCTGATTACAAGGATTAGAGCCTGTCAAATCCTCAAGCCAGTACTTGGGTAAATTTCTTGACCTTTCCTTCCCTCTGTATTTCCTTTATCCAACCGCCTACTCTGACACCCCGTCTCTGCACTTCACCAATATGTTTATTTACTTGGTCTTGGTTCATTCATTTACTCAGTGATGTGCTTTCTAGCATCTGCATCTTGTAGGAGTTTTTTTTTTCCTATGGTATGTGCATGTAGGTGTGTATACATGTGTTCACATTGTGTGTGTGTGTGTGTCTTCAACTGCTTTGCTGCACAGGAGGGAAGATAAGACGTTAATGTAAGACAGGATGTTGTGTATAAATGCTCCCAATTCCCTCACTTAAAAAAAGAGAGGGATAATTCTGAACTCTATCTTCCATGCTGTATCCTGAGTATTCTAATGTAGTCAGGTCCCTTATTTGTCAGTGAATCCTTCAATGACTATCTCATGTCTCTCCCCCAACACCCCACTGGTGTTTTGTAGGATCCCTCTCAAATAAAGTACTTGTGCTCAAGGCCTTGTCTTGGGGTCTGCTTTTGTGGGATGTCAAGTAAGAAAGCATGTGTTTGATGTCTACTATGAGCAGAAAGCACTCTTAGGCTAGTTACTAAGTGAATCCTGAGAAGTTGTATTATTGCTTATATCAGTCTATAGAAAGAAATCAAATAGGTAGTGGAAAGAACATGGGCTTTGGGCTCAGACAAACATGTGGTCTAGCACTTTCTTCATAATATACTTTCCTAACCTTCCTGAGTCTCCTCATCTGTAAATTGGAGACAATGTTTATCTGATAATATGAGGAGCAGATGCAATAACACATGTAAAGTGCCTGGTGCATAATAGACAAACAGTAAGTTGCAGTTATGCTCACTGTCAAAGTACCATTTCCTATTAGAGGACACCATTTATACACCATGAATAGACTTTCTATCATTTCATCTTCACTGCACGTGCACAGGCCAAATGTTATTACCAGACCCATTTTACAGAAAGAGAAGCTAGTGCTTAGGGAAACCAAGAGACTCACTCAGGATCACTGAGCCTGCACTGGGTATCAGAAACCAATCTTCCATCAACAAGGTCTGTATTCTTTCCATTTAACTTTATCTCCCTTCAGCTCTCTTATTTATTTTCTGCCTTGCCTAGTATAAGTTCCCTAAAGACAGGAATAGATTTATTTTCCCCATGGATTCTGGGGCTCCACTCAGGGAACTTTGTTATTGAGAAAGGGATTAAATAATTGTCAGGGGAAAAGACAGCTTGTAGGAGAATGTGATAAATTCAACTGAGAAAGCGCCAAGGGCGAAGACGCATGCAAAGCTGGCACCAGAGCTCAGGCCTTTAGGCTGTTGCTTAATAATATTAACAACTAATATTTGTCTAGCATTTTACAGTTGTCAGAGTACTTCCTGATGTTTAGTCTCACTTGATTCTCACAATAGCTCTGCGCTCTGAGGTGACTTTCTTTGTCAATATTTTTTCTTGCAGGAAACTGAAGTTCAGATAGGATGAGGTATTGACTTAAAACCACTAGTTAGAACCAGAAGATCTGGAAGGCCTGGAAACCAGATCTTCTGTTGTCAATGGCTGGGACTCACGAGCTAGAACATTTCCTATCCCAACTAGAATTTGCAAAATGCTAAGAAAAGTGAAAGCACATTCACAGATGCCTCAATTGCTATAACAATGAAGGCACTATCCCCATTTCATGGAGGAAGAAGCTGGGTGGGCTTTGAAGAGTTACAAGGACCTGCTCCAGGACATTCTGGTAATTGCTTGAATCAAGATTCAAACAGGGTTCCTTGTCGACAGATTCCCCCCACCATTCTACGCTGTTGGACCAAACTGCAGTCTCCTTAATCAAAATGAGGACATCACTTCTCTTAATCTAATTTCAGCTTTTCACAGAGAAAACTTTCCCTTTTTCCCCTTGCACCTCTTTACTCTTGAGTAAAGACCAGAACTGCCCTGATGTATGAGGCAGGAGAGAGACCAGGAAGAAGTTCCTGGCAGGAGCACAGTTCCTCCCATTTGCTAATGAATATCAGCTGGGTCCCTTGAGCTGCCCTTTCTCTGCATCCCTCACTTAAAAGTATGGTTTCAGAACCAGACGTTTCTTATAAACCAGGATCTGATGTGACTTCCTCGGCTGGACAGAGTATCTGGTCTCTGGGGACGAGGATTCTGCTCATCTTTGTCAATCCACTTGTTCATTCACAGAGATCATGGGGATGATTGAGACAGAGAGGAGGTCGGAAGGAAGCTGTGCCTTGTCTCTTCAGAATGCAAAGCAGCTCCCTGCTTGTCAATAGCGGAGGACCTGGGGAAGACTGCGTTTCGGTACCATACCAAGCAGGGAGCTTCTATATCAGTTGAAGGATCGCAATGTTTATTTTTCTTTGCATGTATTGCAAATTTACAAGCTGAGTAAAAAGCAGACTTCTCTCTCTCTCTTTTTTTTTTTGGTTGGCCTCTCACTCTCTTTTCCAACAATGTCTGGGTTTCCCTCAAAGCTACCAAGTGCTAATTTGAAAAATATGTTGCAGACAAGTGGGAGAAAAGCAGGCATCCAATGTGAAATGTCCTCTGGGGCAAGGAGGGAAGGGGAAGGAAGGAATGGGAATAGGAATTAATGTGGACTATGGCGCCTAAGACAGAGGAACTTGCCTTTAGCTCTGTGACATCTCAGGCTGCTGGATTTAGGTACTGTATGAGTCTCCATTGCATTTAAGGTGCTTCCGAATCTCTTTATTGGTACTGTTCACTTCATTGACCAGAGTCCCCTGTAGGACACTTCCTATCAGATTATTATTTGAGGCATCAGTACTAGGAAATATTTCCTTCTTTCTAGAAGTTTATATGTGCTCTCTTAATGGATAGAAAGAACTGTTTTACACATTAGGTTTCTGATTTTGCTTTTTCTGCCAGGAAGCTTAAAGCAAAATTTTTAGCTCAAATGGAACTGTGGTAGAGATCCTGTCACCCCCTTAACCTTATCCTGTTTTCCTCTTGGCTTATTTCTTATTGTCTGATGCAGTTTTTTCTTTGTTGGTTATGATTTTGAAAATGAATATTTTGCCAATCTGTAAATGGCTTCAAATTCTTTGTAGAATGAAGACATGAAAACAGACATAAATAAACCTTGCTAGAGCAACTTTTGGATGAACAAATTATGGGGAAAGGAGTAAGGGAAGTAAATTCTCAAATTGACTTTAGGCTTTTTTCTCATCTTTGTCACATTCTGTCACCTTGTCATCAGTTTTTACAACCCTTGGAAGAAGCACCATGGATGGAGAGAAATTTCAAGGAAGGGCTAAAAGAAGTGGCGTATGGTGGGTGGTTGCCAACAAACCCTTTGCTCTTCCTATCTTCAGAGCACCAAAACGAAGGGCATAGAATTCAATCAAATGTGAGCATTTTAGAGAGATTATCCCCTGGATTCTTCCATGTGCTCCTAGTTTTGATTTTTTTTTTTGAAGTATTTGATAGTATGGGATTTAGATGCCAAAGTTTCTGACTCCAGTCATGAGGACTTGGGCTTAATAACCCTCTCCTACATTCTGATAAATAATAGCTCTATAGGATTAATTTAAATGTCAAAAAAAAATGATGGTGAAAGTGCTATGTAGATTATGAAGTACTACATAAGTCCCGTTAACGTCATGAATTCAGGATTCTTTGCACTCTTTCCTGATTGCCTCTCCATTTGTTCTTACTTCACAGCATGTTCTACACCATATCTAGGACCCACACTGCTCCAGTCATTCCATGATCATGCCTTTGCCTGGGCTGCTCTTCTCCCCTTGCTATATGATAAATTCTCAGACAACCTCTAGAGCCCAATCCAAATACAACTTGATGAAGTCATAGCCCCATGTTCAAGTTGAAGGCGCTACTATTTCCCTACTTTTGGGCACCAGAGCTCTCAGTTCATACCATTCATGGTGCCTTTGTTGTATTGCAGTTGGTTGTTTCTTGTTTGTCACCTCTTGGTGCTATTCCCTTATAGCAGAAACTTTGTTCAACTTTAAATTTCTAGCACATTGTAGACACATCTAGCTTTAAGATGTTTAAATAAATCACAAATTAAATAGAAGGTGAATGATGAAATCTGCGAGCACAGAGAAAATTATCTCAAAGTCCATCTATACCTTAAAAATATTTTATGCTACAAAAACCCAACTTGATAAAAATGAAATTGAATTGAGTGGCATTGAATGTACTGTTTATTTTGTGACTATCAAATCATGATGGACAGATGCTTCTTATTTCCTCTGAGATTTCCTGATTTTCAAACCTAAGATCATGTCAATAGTGGAAAGGGATGTTAGGGGACTGTCAGCAGCTATTTGTGAACATTTTATTTTTAGAAAAGAAAGTAGGCAGATTGGACAGTGGTGAGAACAATTAAACAGTTTGATCTGACTTATTATCAGCTACCTGGTTGGACAGTTTAGTCTTATGTGTTTTTATATATTGATTAATTTTTTTCTTTTGTTTAATTAAATAAAATTTTATTGATGTACTAATCATTTTCAAAACTATATAAATTTTGTATATGCTTTACTCACCCACCACCAAAATTCTACTGATGTCACAATACTGAATTGACCCATTCTACACATTGCCCCCATTCCTATTCATTTTCTGATTTGGGAACCACCATAGTGTTTTCACAGAGTCTCATAATTATTTTTGTTGTGTTTTGTCAGTGTGTTTGCTATTTCACATAAGAGTGGAACCACCTGGTAATTGTTTTTTATTTTCAAACTTAATTTGCTTAGCATAGTTACCTCAAGTTCCATCCATGTGATTATAAGAGAAGATTTTCTCTCTTTTAATAGTTGAGTAAGTAGTGCATCAAGTGTGTATACCAAACTTCTTTATCTAGTTGGCCATTGGTGTGCATTTAGGTTGATTCTGTGTATTAGCCATTGTGAATAATGCTGCTGTGAACACAGGGGGTGCCTATATCTTTTTGAAATAGTGTTTTAATATACTTTAGATAATACTTAGGAGTGGTATTCCCAGATTATATGGTATTTCCCTTTACAGCTTTTTAAGGAATCTCCATTGTTTTCCATAAAGGCTGCATCAATTTACATCTCACCAATAGCAAATGAGGTTTACTTTTTCTCCACACCCTCACCAACACTTGTTTTCCCCCCAGTGTTTGTGATATAGGCCATTCTTACAGGGGTGAGATGATATCTCATTGTGGTTCTGATTTATATTTCCCTCATAGTTGTCTGTAGGCATTCTGTATGTCTTTTTTTTTTTTTTTTTTTTTTTTTGAGAAATACCTATTCAGGTATTTTGCCCATCTTTTGATTGGGTTGTTTCGTTGTTGTGAGTTTTATGGGTTCTTTATCTATTTGGGAAACTAAGCTCTTGGACTTTTTTTTTTTTAGTAAAGATTTATTTATTTATTTATACAAGCACTGGGTACAGTCAGAAGCGCGGGAAGGTGAGAGAATTCCCCAGAGCCAGAGTGGGGAACAGAACAGGCAGACTGATGATACACTGCTGAGGGGAGCAGCGGGCGGCAGGAGAGGTCTGCACTCCATGTGGGACCCTCACCTGGTGGCCGGGGATGGAACCGGCACTGCAGAGGCTGCGGACAGCTTCGCAACCCAGCGCTCAACCGCTGCACCACCGGGGAGGCCCAGCTCTTGGACTTTTGATGAGAAGTATTCCTTGTAGTTAGTAGATTGCCTTTTTGTTTTTGTGATGATTTCTTTCACTATAAAAATATTTTTTAGATTCATGTAATCCCATTTGCTTATTTTTGCTTTCATCCCCTCTTTGGGGAGTTGAGTGCTCATATATATTTGAGATGTCTATATCCAGGAGTGTATTACCTATATTTTCTATGTATTTCATGGTTTCAGTTCTTCTATACAAGTCATTAGTTCTTCTTGTACTGATTTTGTGTATGGGATAAAATGATTATTTTAAACATGTGACTATTCAAGTTTCCCATCAACATTTATTGAAGAGACATTCCTTTCTCCATTTTGTGGTCCTGACTCCTTTTTCTTTCTTAAGATTTATTTATTTATGCATAAAAGAACTGGAATACAGGCCAGAGGTATGGCGGGGGTGGTGGGTTTGAGGATTCATCAGAGACAGAGGAGTGGGGAACGGAACAGGCAGACTAAAATACACTGCTGAGGGGAGCAGCTAAAATACACTGCTGTGGGTAGCTCCCTGGCTAGCCAGGGATTGCACTGGTGCTGCAGAGGCTGCGGATAGCTTCATAGGTTGCATCTTAACCTATTGCACCACCAGGGAGGCCTGTGACTCCTTTCTCATAGATCAGCTGTCCACATATATGTAGTTTTAATTCTGGACTCTCAATTCTATTCCATTGATTTGTGTTTCTATTTTTCCAATACACTTCTATTTTGGTTACTCTCACTTTGCACAGTTTGTAGTGTAGTTTGAAGGCAAGGAGTGTGATACATCCATTTTTCTTCTTTCTTTCAGATTGCTTTGGGTATTCAGGGTCTTTCATGATTCCATACAAATTTGTCCATTTCTTCTGTGTTGTTCAGTTGTGTGCCTACAGATATTAATAGTAGTCTCTTATGATCCTTTTTATCTCTGCATTTTCTTTCTAGCTCTACCTCTTTCATTTCTGATTCTTTTAATTAGGGATTTCTCTCTCCTTTTCTTAGTGAACTTTATCTGTTCAAAAACACAGCTCTTGATTTCACTGATATTTTGAATCTTTTTTTTATTTTACTCTATGTATTTTCACTCTAATTTTTATTATTTCCTTCCTTCTAATAGCTCTTGATTTCATTTCTTCTTCTTTTTCTAGTTCCTTCAGATGTAAGGTTAGTTTATTTATTTGAGACTTTTCTTACTGATGTCGGCCTGTATTTCCCCATCATACCTCAATGATAATTTTTCAGGTAGGTATTTTGGGCTGGCAGTTTTTATCGTTTAGATTTGTGAATATGTCACACTATTCTTTTCTAACTTGTAGAGTTTCTGCTGAGAATTCTGGTGAAGTCTGATTGAGGTGCCTGTGTTGTTACCTTTTTTTTTTTTTCCTCTGGACAGCCTTTAATTTTTACTTTTTTATATTTGAATTTTGATAATTTAACAGTGGTGTTTGATAATTTAACAGTCTTGGTGTAGGTTATTTAATATTTAGAAATTTAGATGCTCTCTCAGATTTTGTACATCCATGATTAGTACTTTTGTTAGGTTTGGGAAAATCTCAGTTGTTATTTCATTGCATAGGGTCTCTGCTCCCTTCTCTGTATGTTTACTTTCTGTGATACCCATTTTCCTTATATTTCCTCTAACAATGGAACCTGATATTTCTAATAGTTTCTTCATTTTCCTAAATCTTATTTCTCTTCCCTCTTCCTCTTAAATAGTTTGTACATTTTATTTTTGATTTCATTGATTATCTCTTCTGTAAGCTTTAGTATACCTGTGCTTTCCATGTTTGCTTTCACTTCATTTTTTTTTCTTTCTTCATTTGATTTGATGAACTCCTTCTGCTCCTTAATATCTTTTCTGAGACACTAAGCCTATCTTTCTGTGTTTAATTGAGATTCTTGGAATTCAATGAATTTCCTTCTGATAATTATTCAAAATTTTTTATTTTTATATCCTCAAACTCTTTATCATTTATTTTTTTTTCAGCTTTTCTGTCTTGCATTAGGATCCTTGTTTTCTAGGTATGTTGCTTTAGTTAGCTATTCTGCTTGATGCTTTGGTTTTATTTGTTTATTTTGGAGGGCATGCCAGAGTCTGAAGACATCAGTCTCACTCTTTGAGGGAGGACTATCCCAGGTGGAGAGCCCTATACTGTCTTTTCATAACTTGGGACCATGCCAGACATTGATCACTACCTGGATCCTGTGTTGTTGGTCTCTGCACCTTTGCTACTCATCTCCATGTGCCCACTAAGTCTCTCAGTCTCAGAACTTGTTAGTTCCCGAGTGGAGGGGAGATGGAACTCAGTTGCCTATGATGGCCCAGCCAGATTCTCCTTTGACTGAACAAAAAGTCCCAGCCCCTTTTCAGCATGTAGCTTTATACTTTACCTTCCCTGGGAAGATCTCCTATTCATGGTTGTGTTCTGAGCAGTCTGTGTCTTTCCCCCAGTTTATTTGACTGACTGGAATGGGTGCCACTCTGGCAGCAACTTCCTCTCCCTCTGTTAACACAGTGAGCCACCAACCACACCTCAGAGAAAAATATTCATGGATCAGTTTGTGAAGCAGACAATGAGCTGGTAAAATTTCCTGTAAGCAATACTTGATTTCTAGTGGTGGCTAGAGGAGAGCCATGTCAAAAACTATTCCTCCATCTGTGGATGTCATTGTCTGATGATTAATGTTATGAGTCATCTTGTACAGGCCAAAAGATACCCAGATATCTGGTAAAATATTATTTCTGAGTTTGTTTGTGAGAGTATTTCCAGAAGAAATTTGCATTTGAATCTACACACTGAGTAAAAATGGGTCTCACCAGTGTAGGTGGACGTCATCCAATTCATTGAAGATCTGAATAGAATAAAAAATTGGGGGAAAGGCAGATTTGCTCTCTTGCTTGAACTAGGAAATTCATCTTCTGATCTCAGTCAATGGTTTTCCTGGTTCTCAAACATTCAGGTTTGAAGAGGAACAATACCACTGGCATTCCTGGCCTGCAATTTGCAAATGGTAGTTCATGGGACACCTCAGCCTCCCTAATTGTATGATCCAATTCCTCAAAGTAAGTCTCTTGATAAATTCTACTGTTTCTGTTTCTCTGGAGAAGCAGAAACTGACTGATACAATCCTCACTTGAAAAATGGGGATAATAATAGCAAATACAACATTGGTTTCTTTTTTGATTAATTATTGATTAATTAATTGTGTAGAAGAACTGAGTTGTAGGCCAGAGGTGAGGGAGTAGTGGATTTACCAGAAACAGAGTGGGGAGCATAACAGGTAGATTTATTGAAATACACTGAGGGTGTTGTGGGCAGGACAGGAGAGGTTTGCTACACCTTATGTGGGTTAGCATCCTGGCTGGAGATGGAAATCAGGCTATGGTAGTGATAGCACTGAGACTTCACCTGGGGCTACCAGGGGAGCCCAAAAATTGCTTTCTTTGAGAATTAAACAAGAATGCATTGAAGGGCCTCCCAGGTGGTGCAGCAGTTGAGCTCTGGGTTGCAAAGCTGCCTGCAGCCTCTGCAGTGCCGGTTCCAACCCTGGCCGTGGGTCCCACATGGCATGCAGACCTCTCCTGCTGCCCGCTGCTCCCCTCAGCAGTGCATTTCGTCAGTCTGCCTGTTCTGCTCTCCGCTCTGGCTCTGGTGAATTCTCTCACCTTCCCGCGCTTCTGACTGTACCCAGTGCTTGTATAATTAAATAAATCTTTAAAAAAAAAAAAAACAAACCAAAAAACAAGAATGCATTGAAAACAATAGTATAATACCTCATAGCTATAGTATTAGACTATAGTAAATGTTTAACAAAAGTCATTTTTTTCTCATAATTAAAGTGACACCTCATTTTTCACACAGGTGGCCTGTGTATTACCTACTTTCCATAGTTCTGATAGCTTTCTGCTGCTGGTTGTTGCCATCCTTCATTTAAAATAAATGTGTGTGCTTCTGTTATGTTACCATCCATTGGTCTTCAGTGACTGACAGGAGTGACTGAAATTTGGATGTACCCTGATAGAAAGGTACATTGCTTGCTCTGCTCACATTTTATCAAAAGTGTATTTTGTATGCAACATTTGGAGAAGATCATAAAAAGGATCATTTTCAAAATCTTATTTCCCTATGTGTCTCACAGAGGCAACAATCCTGCTTTTACAATTTTCAGAAAAAATAGATGACTATCACCAAAAAGGACTTTATATACCAAAAAGGACTGTCTATTTCTTTGTTATTATTTTAATGGGTCAGTGTAAAGTTGTACTCAATCTTATAGACAACAACATTAAAACAAATTCATGTGTGCTGGAATGGCTAGCTACATTGTATTATTAGTTATCAAGTCCATGTGTTTGATATAGTTCCAGGCATGAACAAGTCATAAGAGAAAGTAGATTGCAGTGATGTCTTTCTGTGCTTTGTGCTAGGTGTGACTTTCATTCAAACAAAAAGGGGGGAGAGATTCTTTCTAACAAAGAATGAAAACTTGGAATAATCTCTCCCAGTTATCAGGGAACCATGATCACCTCTGCTGACCTAAGACAGCTGCTTCTTGGATTATGGAAGGTTGTCACAGAAATATTGCACTCAGTTAGTCAAGGGAGCTGCATCAGCATTTTAGAAGATTGCTGAACTCAACTATTCAGAGAGCCCTACATCTTCTCCTTGACAGGGTACCACAACAGTGATGAGGAGGAAAGGGAACAAGACTATTTTGGCAGGAGCATGGTGATTTAAACTCAGCTCCAACTCACTTTGATAATGGACATCAAAGCAGGGAAAATCTTGTCCTAACTGTGAGGGTTCCTCATTTGGGCAATAGCTGTGTTCCTGAAGATTTATATGTTAGACAGACTTCTGTAAATCAGATCATATAAAAGCTGTTTGGGAAGATCAACATTTGATGGGATTCATTGAGAAGTCTGAAAATCTTTTCATTGTAGAGCTTTACATGTCTTGTAAATTTGAAGTTTTCTAAGCTAGATTGATTTTGAAACTTGGGCAACACTTGTAACTAACAAAAATTGGACTGTCAAATATTGCAAAGTTCTGGACTTTGTCGGAAATCTGTTCAAGTAAAGTAACCTGGACAGTTTTCTGTGCTTGGAGCATTCTGTGAATTTTATTCTTTGACAATTTAGGAAGCAAAGGTGTAGGAAATTCATGGATATCTCATATATCCACAACATTCATATCTATCAACTATCCTCTTATAGAGTACAGCTGACCTTAAATAGTCACAGAATGTTTCTATGAGATAGCTAAAGAATAGTGTTTATGATTATATAACATTTCTTAATTTTCTAAATTGGGAAATGGGCTTGACAATCTGCTTGTTCTGTGTCACAATACACTGATCATCTATATTCTCCTGGCAGTTTCACTTCCATGTTCATTATTTCATATGATCATAACGGATACTATTTAACCTACTATGGTGAGGAAACTGAGGATCAGAGAATTTAAGTGTCTTACCAGAAGTCATGTAGGTTGCAGATATATGACTTAGAGCTAGAATCTACTAATATTATAGGTGAGCAAAATTGACTAGTGATTTCCATTAAGAATGGGGAGTAGAAGAAAGAATTTCAGTCTAGTAACTAAAGATGTGGCTGGCAAAGAGTGGAAAGTCTTCTTAATATGGATATCATAACCATATGGAAACCATTTATCAAGAGATTATCTTGAGACTGGCATCAGACTAAGTGTTTTTCATTAAAACTCATAGGATTCCCATGAAATACAGTCTTATTATCCAATTGTACAGATGAAGAAGTTGAGGTACTGAGACTTAAATTTACTTGCCTCAGGCCATACAACATAAAAATTAGAGGCACTTGGACTCGGACCCATTTCTATCTCTCTCTAAAACTTGTAGTCTTTCCATAATATTATGATGCTCATCATCCAAACTCTTGAAATGTAAATCCCTTTGCTTATTAATAACAACTGGAATTTAGGCCCCAGTCCAAGACTTTTTCAATATTATACAAGGCCACAAAACCATACAACATTGTACTTTGAAGCTTAAAAACTAGCATTTTCTTACTGGAAGAAAAAATCCTCGATGCTGTAAAAATAGTAAAAACAGAACTTAATCTTTCTTAAGATGCTGCAAGGGCTTAAAACATGACAAGATAACATTTTAATGATAAGAGTTTCATAAATGTTCTAAGTACACCCTTAAAAAGTCTTACAGTTTCTGCATGACTTATAATGGAAAACAGCAGTCTTCTGCCTTTCCCTCCCCTCTATCCCACTTACTGCAGACCACTAATATTTGCCCCCATGTTTAAAGTGTTATGTACATATTGCTATTTATTTTGCTGCATTGTGTAGAAATATCTCCACCTAAATATCTAATAGCTCACAGTTTCTACCTGCCACAAAACACTAGAGCACAGTTTGTTTTGGTCACTTTATAATAGTTTCCAATTACCTACTCCTCATTTCCATCTGAGACCTCACCAGAATGACTTTCAATATGCATCTACCAACATCGTGTTGTGATTATTTGTGTATTCTCTAAGAAGATGGAAGCTTTCTCCCAGCTCTCCTCTTTTCTTTCTGAGTCCTTGCTAGAATCCCCTTTAATGTGCTTGTTTCTAGCAACCTGTCCTTCATGGCAATCGAGAACCTCATTGTATCTTGTACCTCAAACCTGCTGCTATCTCTACTGATCACCCAATTTTAAAATTGCTTCCATATTTTTAAGTATTACAATAGCATCTCACTTCTCAAACCAAAATTTTCTTAGTTTGTTTCAGCTAACATAACAAAATAGCACTAAATGAATGACTTAAAAACAAAATTATTTTCCCACCGTTCCGGAGGATAACAGTCCCGTACCTGTCAGGGTCTGTTTCTGTTGAGACCTCTAGTCCAGGCTTGCAGAGCAATAGATCTCCTCCTCTTCTTACAAGGCTACTGTTCCTACTGAATAGGCCTCCACCCTTATGAGCTCATTTAACCTTAGCTAACTTCTAAAGACTCTGTATCTCCAAATATGGTCACACTGGGTGTTAGGGCCTGAACATGAATTTGTTGAAGATACAATTCAGCAAAGGATGAAAAATGTACAAGAGAGATGTCATCATATATATATATATATATAATATTATATATAAAGCTATTTATATATATAAAGCTATATATATTTATATATATATAAAGCTATAAAGATTATACAAAGAATAGGAATAAAAAGGGAAGATCTATATTCATTTGTAAAAATTTTAGAGATGAATTAGTGATATGTGCCCAGAAAACTAATTAACCCCAGGGAAGTGGAAAATACTAAACCTCTGTTCATCCCCTAAAAGGGAAATTTAATCTTCATACACTTTATGACTTGGGTGTAAATAATGTTTATTTAGTCATAATTGTATAAAGAATGGATTTGTTTTTAGATCTCCAGGGCAGATGGTTGAGTTATTCATACTCCTCAATTCCTGGCTCACTAGCATTGATCTTAGCATGGTCCCTCTCTTATTTAGATATTTCCCTTTCTCCCATATGCAAACATCCTGATATATTTGAAATGTATCATTTCATTTATATGAGGTATTTGAAATGCATATTTTATAATTTACATATATTTTATTTTATAAAGCTTCTATTTTGGTTAATTAATCTTTGTCTTTTTTTTTCACTCAGCACTGCTTTTTAGATCTATTCATTTTGCTGGGCTTACATCTAATCATTCCTTCTAATTCACAAATATGCCTTATTATGCATCTTCCATATGTACCTACTGATGGTCCCTTACTGATCAATGGTCCCTTACTGATGAATAACTAGATTATCTCCAACACTTTGCTACCACAAATGAAGTAGGGAATTTCTGGAAGATGTCCATCCTGGAATGTGATATGAATTGATTATGTAGTGGCAGTGCCAAAGTGCTCCTCAGAATACTGGCCTGGTCCACACTTCTATCAGTGGTACTTACAGTTATTGTATTGCCAACCCTTAGTGACCATCCCACTTTCAATGATGGCCAATCTGAGAAGAGTAAAGTGATCTTTTGATGTTTTCATTTATCTTATAACCAGTGGATCTG